AGTGGTCCTCGGTGGGGTAGTGGTCCTCGGTGGGGTAGTGGTCCTAGGCAGAAGCAGAACCAAGACGTACCCTGGCACAGGCAGGTGCAAGGCACCTGCAGACCCCAGAATGTTTAAGGAAGCGAGCTTGGAGATCATTAGAATACTTTTTAGTGGGAGTCTGGCCTTCAGTGGTGCCCATTAGCAAGAACAGTGAGACCTTTGGCCTACTCATGTCCAGAGATATGGGGAGCAGAGGGCCCATCCAGACCTGTCCTCTCAGGGTGTGTTAGGCCTGTGTCCTAAAGCAAAATGAGACCAGAGGAAGGTCAGGTTAGAGCTGAAGGCAGAGAGAACAGAGACGGCTGACTCAAAAATTAGAGTGACAGATGAGAAGAAATCCAGGGGCTTGGGGCCAGAGAGATGACTCAGCAGTTAAAAGCACTTGTTTCTCTTCCGGAGGACCTGGGTTCAATTCCCAGCACTCACACCAGACAGTTCACAACCACCTGTAACTCTAGTAATCCAGGTAATCTAATTAACTCCAGGTAATCCGACATCCTCTTCGGGCCTCAGCAGGCACCTGCCCATATGTGGTACACATAAAAGACACTCAGGCACATACAATACACATAAAATAAAATTAAGAAACTCTAGCAGGCTCTCTCGGGCGCCAGCTCCCAAATCATGACAGAGACTTACTATTAGCTGTGAATGCTCAGCCCTAGTTTATGCTCATCTCTAGCTAGCTTTTATAACTTATTTTAACCTGTTTCTCTGCGTCTCCACTGTGCCTCGGGGCTTTTTACCTTTCTTCCATTCTGTATGTCCTACTTTCCTGCTTTCCCCATGTCTGGCTGGCTAGCGGCTGCCCGGCCGGCCCCTGGAGTCTCCTTCTCTTTTTTCCTCATAGATTTCTCCTCCTACTTATTTTCTCTGCCCACCAGTACTGCCTATCACTCTGCTGCCTAGCTGTTGGCTGTTCAGCTTTTTATTAGACCAATCAGGTCCCTTAGGCAGGCAAGGTTAAACAAATGTAACACATCTTTACATAGTTAAGCTGATATTCCACAACAATAATTTTTTTTTAAATCCAGAAGCCATGAAGAAGCGTCCAGAAAGGTTGAAACGAAAGGAGCAGACCTGACCACAGGGTCAGACAGGAAGTGAAGCTGGTGGAGGTTCCACCCTCCAAAAGTCATCCTGTTATGGAAGCAGGAGGGCTGAGGCCGCACTGTGGTGATTTCACAGGGCGGGAAGCCCAGGCCTGACATGAGATCATGGATGACATGTGCTTTGTAAGCTCGGGAGCACCACGGCCGTCATTTGCTCACTGTGGCGTCCTTTGAAAAGATGCCGCAGAGGTGCACACAGAGGCGTGAAACATGGCCACAGTGAGCTGCAAAATGAGTTTTCTGCATTTACAGGTGCAAACTCAGGAAGCGCCTGTGAGTGTGAATACATGTCTGCGTAATAGGTCTCTCCGTGAATTACATCTTCTCTCTACTGGCCTGTGTTCTCTCTCTCTCTCTCTCTCTCTCTCTCTCTCTCTCTCTCTCTCTCTCTCTCTTTAAGAATATGCATCATTTATAGAGTGAAAAGCAGAGTTTGTTTTTAAATGAACACTCTTCAGAGGCTCACATGGGCAATGGCAGGGCTACTGGACTGACTTTGCTCTCCTTACCTGCTTTCCTACCATGTACTACGGGGTTGGCTCACACTCTTTCTCCAAGGACATTTTTTTTCTTCCTGTGACATGGGCAAAAGTAGATTTTCTTGGATTCAGGAGTAGCAGTGTGACTTTGTAACCCTGTGATGTCTTCCAGCTGGAGAGAGAGAGTGAGAGGTGGAAGGAGGCAGAGCAAAGAAGACAGTTTCTAGGGGTTCCCAGCTGTGAGCTGACAGCCCTCTGCTTATAGCATCTTTGGGGTCACACATAGTGGGGGAGGGCGCCTCCAGTGCCGTGGGATCTGCTTCCACCAGAGCCACCAGATGCCAGATATGGCTTCCCACTCCTCATTACACACGCCCTACCCATGCCCGGTCTAGTCTCCTTTTCCATCCCTTCCGTGGCCCTCTGCTCACCCTCTCCGCACATGCACGAATGGACGTTATACCCCTCGAAGCTCCCATCCAAATTCTCCCCACTGTGGCCCCACTCAGAACCACACCCACACCCCAGATGCTCCTCTCCACCTACCCACAGTATCTTACACTAGCCAACAACATTCTGTGTCCAAAGTGTATCTGTTTGTACTTATTTTCAGAAAGACTGCATCAGTGGTCTGAGAACCAGAAGGACTAGCCTGAGATCACACAGCAGATAATGGAAGATCCAGCCCACTCTGCCCTTGAGATCTGAGAGGGAGAGGCATTGCCCTCTCTGCTTCCTCACTCCCCAGCCTTGTCTCTAAACTGTACCTCTAGACTCTGGCATTGAAACTTCCCCCCACCCCACTGCAATGGGCCCTTCCAGGGTAAGGCGATGCCCTGCTTCATACAGATGCTGCCTTCAACCCAGCCAAGAGCTTCCTGTCTCCACTTTGCACAGTGCTGGCCATCACCAGGGCTGGCTCGCATCCCGTGAGACTTCCTCCACACCTGACCCTTCCCTCCCCCCAGCATTGGTCTTCAATAAATCTCCGAACCGAACCGCCTGCAGGGTGCTTAGAACCTGCTCTGCAGTGTCCTGTGTGACCGTGAGGAGTCCCCTTAGGGAAACAGAAGCCGCCCTAGGCGATTCCCTGGGGCGGAGTGAATATGAAGGATTGGCTTTAGGGCTGTGACGCTGAGAAAGCAAAAAAAAAACCGTTGTGGGAAGACTCTTCTAGCTCAGGCTGGGTGGTGGAAGGGAGGACGGGACTGTCAGGGAAGGGGAGGGATGCTCACGGGTTGGAGCAGGAAGCAGCTCGAAGCAAGTATCCATCCCTACAGCTCCCCCTGTTGGTGGAACTTAAGAGAGACCCAGAGGGCCAAAGAGTCTTGACGTCGTTGCTCACGTTTTACGGATGGGGAACTGGACCTAAGGGGATCGAAATCGA